AGAGAGAGAGAGGAACATTGATTGGTTGCCTCCCATTCATGCCCTGACCAGGGATTGAACCTGCAACCTAGGTATGTGCCCTGACTGGGAATCAAACCTGAGACCCTTTGGTTCACAGGTTGATGCTTCAACCAACTGAGCCACACTGGCCAGGGCAATATAAATGTTCTCTCTCTTTTTTTTAAATCCTTACCTGAGGATATTTTTTCATTGATTTTTTTTTTTTTAAATAGAGGGGGAAGGAGGGAGGGAGAGAAACATGGATGTGAGAGAGACACACTGATTGGTTGCCTCTCCTGCACAACCCCAACCCTAACTGGGGCCTGGGATCAAACCCGAAACTGAGGAACATGCCCTTGACTGGGAATTGAACCCATTACTCTTTGGTCCATGGGCCAACGCTCTGACCTCTGAGCCAAACCGGCCAGGGCTATAAATGTTTTCTTTTTAAAATGTTATAGAAAATTAGCCAAGTGTAGCTTGCAGTAATTGTTCCATCATGGACCTGGCCCAACTACTATGGTCTTTCACCTTGCTCAAGGCCAGGTCTCCTCCCAGGCAGCAAGGAGCAGGGAGGCCCCTGTGTCTTAGCTGGTGAGGATGGAGCTTCTGTGCCTAAAGAGGGCTCACCAGCCCTATAGCCGAGTAGAGGTCCAGTCCCAGGGCTCTCAGCTATGACAGCTGATCACTGAAAGCTTAAGGAAGGTTGAGGTAAACAGGCAACACCTCAACCTCTGTGGACATAAAGACTGTCTCTTCTTCACCAGGACCACTTTGTTGCCCCCTAACAGATGTGAAGCTGCTCCAAGAAATGGAGCTTTAGAAAACCCATTTCTGTGTAAGTTTGGGTAGGTGCTGGGAACTTGGCCTTCATACTCGAGTCAGATACAGGAATTTTATCCTGGGTCTGATTATTCATACCCTGTTGGCATGGGTAAACCCAGCCTTGCTGCTAGTGCTGTGTCTGGTGAGAAGTGGTTCCTCATAGAGAGGAGGCTGGCCTTCTATGTTAAACTTACTGAGTTTTGTAATCATGCTGATGGCCTCCGTTTTGCCTGAGTCAGAGTTTAATTCAGGGCTCTGTAGTACCATCTGATATATCTACCCCTTGATCTGTTTTCCTTATTAGTAGTGGTGCAACTGTTACAGCAGAGATGTTGGTGATGCCAGGTTAGTTAAAATATTTGGCATTTGCTTTTCCTGTGGATAAAAGTAGAATTGCTAAGCCCCAGAAGAGAGTGAACATTATCTGTATTGCCGAACCCTGCTTTTAGGCTGGAGCTGGAGACATAACCACCAGAACCAGTTACACAAGGTCTTGGAAATTCAGTGGAACCTGAAATGTGGGTGGGCCTCCTGTTTCTAATATACCTCCATCCCACTGTTAGGAAAGGCACTTCCCGCTTGGCCTCCTGCCATTGGACACTCTGAACAAGCTGTTCTTGGAATCTCCGCCAGGCTTTTCCTTTACAACTGGTGTTGCATTGCCTGTGCTCTGTGATCCACTATAATCCTGCATGTGGGGAGTCTGGATGATAAAGTGGTTTTGAAATGGAATTGGTTTTCTCTCCCTTATTGAAGTGGTGGTAGTTAGTTTGGGGGGAAGGAAAAGAGCTTCTGAAGTCACCTTTCTGTACCAGTTAAACATCAGCAACTCCAATATGCCATTCTCTGGGTGAAAGGGAATTAGGTAGCATTTTTCTTTCTAAAAGGCATGGAACCTAAGTCAGTAAATAGAGGACCAGTGATAACTCCAGAATCTAAGGTAGGTAAATACCACACTGAATGGTCTAAGGCAGTGGTTCACAACCTTCCAATGCCATGACTCTTGAATACAGTTCATCATGTTGTGGTGACCCCCAACCATAAAATTATTTTTGTTGCTACTTCATAACTGTAATTTTGCACCCTGGCCGGTTTGGCACAATGGTTAGAGAGTCGGCCCGCAGACCAGAGAGACCTGGGTTCGGTTCCCGCTAAGGGCACGTACCTCAGTTGCAGTTTGTCCCCGGCCCCAGTTGGGGTCATGTGAGTGGCAACCAGTCGATGTGTCTCTCACGTCAGTGTTTCTCTCTCTCTCTTCCCTCCTCTCTCTCCTCTCCCTCTCGCTCTATCTGAAGATACATGCAAAAGTGTCCTCAGATAAGGATAAAAATAAATAAATAAATAACTGTAATTTTGCTACTGTTATAAATTGCCATCGGAAATATGTGTTTTCCGATGGTCTTAGGTGACCCCTGTGAAAGGATCGTTGTGACCCACAGGTTGAGAACCGCTGGTCTAAGGGCTGGGGCACTCAAGTGTAAATCTGAAAATGCTCATGTCTTTATTTCTATCTCTTTCAATAGCCAAGGACCTATTTTATTTATCTGTAAAATAGGAATGTATAACAACTCCTGGGAAAAGTCAAAAATTCCCTTCTCAAAGCATTTCAGACAAGTTTGAAGGCTGGTACTTACTTTATTATGGCCCATGTGAAGCGTGTGGAGCCTGGTCTGGAAATCAGTCTCGTATAGGGTAAAGGGGAAAATATTTCATAGAAACCAATGTTGTTTGTTTTGGGGTTTTCTTTCCTCTATGCCTTTTTTCCCCTCCCATGTAGAAAACTTTGAGCCTTATTATTGCTTTCCTTGGATTGTTCCAGATGATTGAATGTTGTTGGGAAGTGCTGACAGCACTTGTTTTAAGCTTCTTTATTTGCCACCTGTGTTGTGTGTGACCCTCTCTGACCAGGCCCCACAAAGTGGAGTCTGAAAGCCCTTTGCTACCCTGACCCCCACTTGATTGAGTGGATAGGTGCCGTGACTACTGAGATGGTTACAGCCTTAGCTTGCCTGCTGGAGGCTTGATTGGCTTTGGGCTGGCAAGATAGGGCATTTTGGCATTTTAAACACCACTGCTCTACTCACCAGCTCTGTGCCCTTGATCAGATTACCACACCTTTCTGAGTTTGGATCCTACTGGTCTCAGCGGATCTTTATAAAAGTTGAAAAGAACATGTCCCAGTGCTAGCGCAGCAGCTGGCACATAGCTGATGCTCCATCGGTGTTGGCCTGCCCGACCTCCAAATGCACTAGGGCTCTTTGTTCAGTGATAGCTCCGCGCAGCTCTCTATCTGGTCTTGGGTGCCTTTATGTTGGGGGTGAGGGGCAGAAGCAAAAGCAATTACAATGCTTTTCACTGAAAAAAATGCGAAACCTGAGTCTCACGTTTCCTATTTTTTGTGTGTGTTTGTTTTTAATCCTCACCCGAGGATATGTTTTTATTGAGTTTTGAGAGATAAAGAGAAACACTGATGTAAGAGAGAAACATCAGTCAGTCACTTTCCATACATGCCCCAACTGGGGATTGACCCGCAACCTTTTGGTATATGGGACGATGCTCCAGCCAACAGCCATCCAGCCAGAGCATGTTTCCCTATTCTTGACAGCTTCTGACTTCTGGCCTAAGTATGACCAAAGGGCATTTTTTCTTGCAGTGCTATTTTTCAGCCTTCTGAGCCCAAGGCTTTTGTGTCAACTTCTAGAACCTTAAATCTGGAAGGATTTAGGGGGGAACCTGAGATCCTGTGAGGGGAAAGGATCTTACTCAAGGCAGAACCCGGATCTCCTCTCCTATTTCTCCGTGAGCTGCATCCACTGCAGTGGGAACTGAGGCCTGTGCAGCTAACCACCTTCAGAGACTCCGGACTCTTGTATCCCTGGGCCTCAGCAGCTGTTTAAAAACTTGGTTTTAGAGAAAGGGTTCGTATTCCTGTGACTTTACAAGGGTCTGACACCAGGTAATAGTCTGAGAAATACCTGTCCTCTTTCAGTCATTAATTCAAATACTGGGAGCCTACTAAGAGTCAGGCTTTGTGCTGGGGAGATGGCAACAAACAATCACACTGAAAGGGGATTCTAATCACTGGCAGCCCTATAACAAAGCACTTTTATGTCTTTTCAAAGGAACGTGTCATTTTTTAAGGCAATCAAGTTTTGACTGCCCACATTCCATCAAGTTAATGGAAAATGTCATCTCAGTTGACATTCTCATGCCTCCTTCCCCCCTGTTATGCCTAGATTCAGGATTTTTATTATAGTATTGTGGTTATGGCTGAGGTGCCTGCTCTCTGCCCCCATTTGGTCCCTTTGGTTCAAGGGCCTGCTGCTTCTGGGCCAATTTGGGGTGTAGGACACTGATAAGGTTGATCACCAAGTTACCTTTGTCCTCTTGGTCTTGCCACTGACCAGATCTTTTCAAGGCTCACACTCCAGGAGGGGCATGGGAGTGGAGAGAGGCACAGGTCACCCTGCACCAAATTCATGTGGCTGCTTTTGGTCTTGGCACATCTTACCAAAGGGTGACGCCTTCTCCACCCAGCCAAGCGGCATAGAAAATGCCTTTGAGAATCTGGAATAAACCTTAACCATCATGTGGCAAGGGGGGAGGCATTGTGGGGAGAACAAAGATCAGACTTGAATTTGAACCTTGGCTCTGCCTCTTTACCTTTTTGACTTTAAACAGGTCTTAGTCTTTGCAGTCAAATGGGTGTAATAACATTCACCTGGCTGTTGGGATGAGGGTTAAAGAAAATGTATTCGAAGCTCCTAGTCCCGTGCCTGGTATGTAGCTGCTCAGTAGATGCTTTGCTACTGCAGAGTTTTTGTTGATAGATGTGCCATTAGCCAGCAGTAACCTACATCATGGAAGTTAAAGAGGCAGCAAGTGGATCTTTAGCTGAGAGGTTGAAACGTTGTTATCAAGAAGGAAGAAGGCTTTGTGACCTAGGTAGATGGAAGTTGAAAGATGAGTCTCTCCACTCTCTGGATGATGTGATTGAGTGAAAACACTTAGCAACTTGAAATGTGCTGATATTTGGCATGGCAAGGATACTTTTAAGCCTTGTCTGTGCCTTGGAGCTTCCTTGTGGCTCACTGGGAACTGTAGATTCCTTGGTTTTGGTTGTCAAATTGTACCTGCTGTGTCTACCATCACTGACTGTGTTCACTCTCTTCCAGGGGCTCCACGGGCCTTACCCCTTCGGCCAGTCTTAAACGGGTGTCAGCAAGAAGAAAAATTAACAAAAGACAGAAGGTCTGACTTTGGTGGGGGGCGGGCAAGGGGTTCCTCTGGATTGCAGACCACATCGCACGGACCTCTGGCTCTGACCGTCCATCCTGGAAGAAGAGGAAGAAGCAGAACAGACTAGTTTTGAGTAAACTCAGTGTGCATGTGTGAATGCTGAATCGCTGGAGTGGTGTTGAGGCTACCAAGAAGAAATCCATGCAGCCACCTTGGGTTTTGTTTATTAGGCGTCAGTCTAACAGTCATTAGGTCACTCGGGAAGGGAAAAACGTTTAAAATGGGGGAAAAAAGCCATCTTTTTAAACAAAAATTATTTTGCCTACAGACAGGTTGTAGTTTTGAACACACGTTAATTTTTCCCCTTTCCGCACTTCTATTTTATTTTTTTTAGATAAGGGATAACATACTCTTTATAGAATAGCTGCTTGCTCTGGGAGCGATTCAGATTCAGAGTTGGTGTGGCATGTTTGGGGCCTCCGTGGGCGGTGCTGCAGGAGGGCATCTGCTGTGACACGTGACCCAGAAGTCTCTAATAGCATCAGCCATTACGCTATCGCCCTTTTCCTCTTCTTTCTCTTTAATCTTCTGTTGATTTACACCTTTGACATTTGTATTAGTCAACCCTGTGGCTTGTTACCATCAGAACCTCTCTGAAGACCAAACTTCCCTGTGTAGCCAACAGAGGAAGCCTTGAGGACAGGTCTCGGGTGACGTGGGAGTGGCTGAGGCTGAGAGGTGTCCTTTTGCACACACTTGTAACAGTTCAGATTGCTTTTCTCCCGTGTTTCTCCTGGCAGAAATGCCATCATGCTTGCTGCTTTTTGGCTTCTTCACCCACAGTGGTTCCCTGCTCACTCCGGGGACAGTGCCTCTGTGCTCGTCTGCCATGTGCACACACTCATGTGGGAGCAGCTCCCCGCAGTGTGAAGTGAGGGTCCCATGCTTCTCTGTTGTCACACAGCTCCCTTCCCTTTGTTTCCTCTCAGTTGTCTTTTGTGGTGTTTTCACAGCCTGTTAGTGGAGGCTGAGCTGTCAAAGTATGAAAATATAACCACAAATGAGGAATTTGCCATGGGGAAGGGCCAGAGTTATTGTGTGATCTTGGAGACCATACTTTGAAGGAAGTAAGAGGACCCCCATCCTGGCCATGATGCCTGGTTTTGGGGAGGTGGTGGGCAAGGGGCCACCCAGCCAGAGCAGAGGCTGATCGGCTGGCTGCTCCCTTGGACAGGTGGCCCCACTGGCATCCTGTGGATTCCGAGCTGGTGAGATATGTGGATATCTCCATGGGAAGCTTGAACCAGGCTAGAACAGCTGTCTGCCAAAGATACAAGAATATGCAAAGTCCCTCTTCTCACCCCCCTCCTTCCCTCGAGTGTTGGTTGGTTTGATAGCCAGGAATATGGATCTAGGGTGCAGTTGCCTGCCTGTTACCACACCCCAACCCATGCCAGGGGTGAGAGTCAAGGAAGGAGACCAGGTGATGAGTGGCTGCAAGGGGTCATATAGCCTGGGTGTGGTGAGGGTCTGTCTGCCTGTCTGTCTCTGTCTGGGTGTGTGAGTTCCAAAAATGTGTGTTGTTTGTTCCTCCTCATCCTCTTCTGAGACTGTTTTTTAAAAGCTTGATTGTGGGAGATAAGCTTGTATGAAATACCCTTTTGCCTCCTACCTCCCAAAAAATAAAAGGGGGGTTATATTTTGGTCCACTGGAGAAGCCCTGGGGGAGGTGGAGCCAGTCTGCTTCAGAGCAGTACGGGTAGGTCTGGGGCTGGACTAGGGCTCACACTGGAGCACACACTTTATGCACACGAAGAGGGCCCCCATTCCTGAGCGGAGCAGAGGGGAGTCCCTGTCAGGTGCCCAAGCCAGGGGCTCACGATAGATTTTTGGCTGAGGGCCCTGTTAGGCCCAAACTGCAACTACTGCTGGTGCCAACCTCCTGGGACACCGCCACCCTGGAGCCCACCCATGCCCACCGTTCTTATTTGCTAGCCCTCAAAGCAGCACATCTCCAGCTTCCTCTGGCAGGCTCGTGGGGCTTTCCAGCCCCTGGTTTCCTGGCTTTCTCATCTGCCCCACGCAAGGTGCCGCTTCACTGTTTCCCAGGAGGGGCTGCTACCGTTACTCAGCAGAGATCCTGCTCCTCTTGCTTGTAGGTAACCTGACCTGGCAAGGTAACTGTCCCAAGCACGCTGGCTTCTCTCCCAAGAACAAACCATTTCTGTATACATCCTTGCAGAGGGCAGAGCAAGCGTAAGCCATGGAGTAGGGGCAGGGAGTCCATTGCTCCCCAGGACCAGGGGGCTAGCAGTACCATTCATTCTGCCTCCTCTCACAGGTTTGAGTGCTTAGAGCCCCTCCTCCCTGCTAGTGGGTAGTGGAGGCTACTCTCTCAGCCCCAGTAGCCTCTGCTCTTCACCAAACAGCAGCTGCCTGTGGGCAGGACCACCAGTGTCATACCCACAAGGTGAGACAGGCTCCATCCTTAGGGGCCTGAGTCCAGTGTGGGAGGCAGAGGGGCTCGGGCTCAGGAAGAGCCTGTCTGTGTGCATGGAGTGAGGTGTGTGTGGATATGTGTGCACGCGTGCATGCTTTTTTTTTTTTCTGTCATGGGGACAGTTGAATTCGGGGCATTTTTCTATAAGAAACAGACTTCTCTCCCTCCATAAGGACTGGCTGTAAACCTGAAGCCTGTCAAAGGCACTTCCAGCCTAGAGAGAACCTAAGCAAGACAGCTGGTGTGGCCTAAGGGTGGCCAAGGTGGGAAATGGACGTGAGAATAAACACCTCCCAAATTCAATCTGAGCCCCAGCAGGAGAGGACGGTGGGGTTGCCAGGGCCCAGAAAGGCACGTTGATCCCCACCTGCCCTGCTTTCCTTTCCTGTTTCCTTGGGTGAATGCAGGAGCCACGAAGCTGCCCTGCATTTGCACAGGGTGTGTGGTAAGCCTGGTGGGTGTCTGTGGCGGGGCCTCGGGGTGCCTGGGAGGAGATGAAGATGAGGAGGTTTTTCCTTACTGTATAAATGAATATTTGTATGATTAAATTAACACACACAAAAAAACTATTCTCATGTGTGTCCGTGGGTTCGGTGGTACCCTGAAGCCTTGTGAGCCTGCACAGCCCCACGGGGGCTCTGTGCTGTGCACTCTTTGGTCTCTGGGTCTCTCCCTTTTGCAGTTGGGAAAACTGAGACCCTGGGGTTCGTTATATATTTGGGAAATCAGTCCTGGAGTTATAATTCGGCACCCCAGGGTCCCAGGTGCCTATTGCGCACTACTCTGTCCCAGCCTCACTGGGTGGCACACCGCGCAGCAAGAATGCAGAGCGTCGGGGCACCTTTCTTCCAGGGGAAGCACACGGCCAAGCTGGGGGAGTCCTTCTCAGTCCCCTGGGCCCCAGCATCCTAGATGTAGAAGAGGGAATGTATCTTCCCTACGTGTTTCCCATGGTGGTCTCCAGGCTCTCCTGATATATTATGGATTCAGTAAGGTTTTACAGACTGGCCTGGGATCCTGAGAGTCAGGTAGGGACTGCACTTCATGCAGTTGGCAAACAAACTTGGATCCTAGTCCACATACATATATGACCTTGGCCAAGCGGGGGTGGAGAGGAGGACGTAGTTGTCAGCATGAAACATAGTTGGCAAATGGTGGGTTCCCTGGATCCACTCCTTCCTGCCTGTAGCATTCATAGCCCAGACTTCCAGTGTGCCTTCCATCTCATCACTCCTCTGCATTGATGGCAGAGTGAGGTCAGAGGAGGAGGAGTTGCTTGGATCTAACAGGCTGTTAGACCCGTGCCCTAACTCCCAGATGCTGGCATTGTTGTCACCGACGTGGCATACCCCCACGTTGGGTCTTCACCCTGGCTGGCAAAACTGTGCTAAATGACAGTGGACCTGGATGTGAGCTAGTCTCTAGGGAGTGAGGGTCAAGGTGGGGGATTCCCTGTAGGCAGCTCAGTGAGAGGACCTGTGTCCACAGATAGCGTGAGAGAAATGAAGGCCCCTCCTTCAGCCGCATGCTGTGACCCGGCCACTTCCCCAAGGCCTGGTTGCAAGACTCTTGTTGCTCTGTAGCCTGATGCACAGCCCAAGGTGAGGGAATTAGGAGAATGGCCTGGGGACCCTGGGGTGCATGCCCAGCCCATCCCTGCCACTGTGACAGTGTCTGCATCCTGCTTCCTTCCAGGTGCCCACGGCTGTTTGTTCTCAGGAGCGGGGCCCCCACCTGTCACCTGGGTCTTCTGGCAGCCCAGTCCCACTCTCAGGCCTTCCCCAACCGCCCTGACGCTGGACAGTTATTTGCTTGGCAGAATCTATTTGTCTTTGGGGCTGTAACCTGTCAAGAAGTCACCAGACCCTGGGAGAAGGGAGCAGGTTTGATGGTAGCTCCTGGCCCAGGCTATTCCCACGGGGGCTAGGTGACAGGGAGGGGGCTCTCAGTTGAGCTTTTGTCTGGGTGTAAGAAGTCGGGGAGGCAGTGGCAGTGGTCTGGGCCCAGCCCTCCTGGCAAAGCAAACAGGTCTCAAGCTGCCTCCCTGCCCTAGCTCAGGTTGTACCTGGGTGCCTCCCACCCTGTTCTTGAGAAGGCCCCTCCTTCAGCTGCATGCTGTGACCCGGCCACGTTCCCAGACTCCATACCACTTGGTGTCCAGCCCTGTCTAGCGGCCAAGAGGACAGACACCAAAGGCACTCACAGCAGCCCTTTATTTCAAAAAGGGAGTGGAGCAGGCGAGATTGCTTTGAGACAGGGAGAGTGTGAGGGAGCTTGGGGATCAGGGTGTCCAGAGGACAGATTCTGACAGGCTGGCATGACTGAAGGATGGGTTTCAGGTGACTATAAAATGGAGATAAACTGGTTTAGAAACCATGGGTCTTCTTAATACCACGTTTAGCTCTTATTTCTGAGACACTTATCTGGGAAAGTGCTGCTCAAATTGGGATGTCGTCCACCGTCGATGTAATTTAGTCTTAGGACTGAGATTCTTAAAGGAGCGTCAGTGGGTTTGACCTGATCTGTCACACACCCCTTAAAGCCTCCTGGTTGCCCCAGCTTCAAGAAGACCCTTCTCAGACTCAGAGTCGACGGTTGCAGCTTACCTCTCTCCTGCCTTCTCAAGACCCCCGTGTCCCAGCCCTCTCCCCGGGGTCATTTCTATAGATGGGGATGTATGCTGTCCAGGCTAGGAGTGGCCCCCGGCCAGGAGCCAGATGCAAGGGCATAAAGAAATAAAGCCAGGGCCCCAGCATGTGCAGCTTAGCTCCTGTGCCCTGTCCTCCCAAGGACAGTCTAGGGCCCTGGAGCCAAGTTCTAGGAATTCTACCTACTGGCTGTAGGGGGAAAGAAAAGGCTGAGAGAAGGGGGGCTGTGTCTGAGTGGAGGCCATGCTTGCCTGCACCATGCTCCCTTTCCTGGTCAGCAACCAAGACACCCAAGATCCCCAAAAGGTTGGGCTGTCACTGCTCCAAGCCTCTGAGAACAACCCCCAACACACACACACACTCCCACCCTACCCCCCACCCCCACCCCCTGGGCACAGACAGGAAGGGATTGGGGCTGAGCTGTGAGCAATGCCTTTTCAGGGTATGGCTGTCCTGAGACGCACACACGCGCACACACACAGGCACTGAAACAGGAAGGGATTGCGGCTGAGCTGTGAGCAATGCCTTCTCAGGATATGGCTGTCCTGGGCCACTTTGGGTGAGAGGGGGAATGTATAGACAAGCCATAGTCCCTGGGGTTGGGGTCAGGAGCTGGTGCTGGGAGTATGACCAACTCAGAGCTGGTGCAGGGTGGGCCCAAGGCCAGCAGAGGGCACCATGTGGCCCAGGCCTCAGGTCTCCCCCCTGCAAGCATGTTTTCCAAACCCCACGCCAGGCCTGTAGCCTCTCCACGAAGGAAAATGTGGGTTTGAATCTAGGCTCTGCTGCTTGCCTCATAACCTCAGTGTGCTAATCTGTGAATGAGGACAGCTTTCTCCAGAGGTATCATGAGAAGTAAAACTCATCGTAAAAGTTTAGCATCGGGCACTGGCATAGTCTCAGCCCCTGTACCCAAGAAGTTGCTGATGATGGCTGGTATTGACGACTGCTACACCTTGGCCAGGGCTGCACTGCCACCCTGGGCAACTTTGCCAAGGCCACCTTTGATGCCATCTCTAAGACCTACAGTTATCTCACCCCCGATCTCTGGAAGGAGACTGTTCACCAAGTCTCCCCATCAGGAATTCACCGACCATCTTGTAAAGACCCACACCAGAGTTTCTGTGCAGAGGACCCAGGTTCCAGCTGTGGCCACCACATAATTTTATACAAGAAAAAGTGAATAAAGCCTGTTAATTAAATTTTAAAAAAAAGTTTAGCATCGTATACCTAGCTCATGGTAAGTGTCCGTATGTGGTGACCACTTGTATTCCGTGGGCTGCCAGCTGTGGAGGCCCGGGCTCCTGAGGAGAGGGCTGGGACGCTGGGCATTTGGGAGGTGGGGTCCAAAAATTCTGTAGCCTGGGCAGATGTCTCTCCCTGGACCACAGCCCATCTTTCCAGCAAATTCTTGCCATGTGGGCATTTCTTGGTGTGGGCTGGGAGTTGAGATGCAGGAAAGGACCGTGCTGGAAGAGTCTAGGAGATCTCAATTCCTCTAAGAAGAGGCTCTGAGGGACGGGCTGTGCACAGGAGACTCCATGCGTGTTTGTTGGGTGAAGTAAAAACAAATGTCAGACCGGGAGAGACGGCCTGTGCGGGACTGGCAGCCCGCTCAGCCCCCAAGCAGTGGCAGGCTCCTGGAGGGGTCGGGTGGGGGTGGGCACAGGTGTGCCCGAGGTTCAGAATGACAGCCCAGAAACTGCCTGGGAACTGGTTGGGCCACTGTGGTTTACCACTTCCGAGGGTGGAGCACCGGGGCTGACACGTCTGTTTCCACAAAGACCTGTGACGATACAGGGCAGGAGTGGAGCCAGGCCGCGGGGAGGTGCCATCTTCATGGCACATGCTGGTGTCAGGTGGCTCCCAGATCCTCGGAGTGTCTCCAGCTCTTGCTCTCATGCTGTTCCCTTCACTTACCTCTCTCACATGCCAGCTCCCTGAGCACAGTTTAACCAGGAGCCATGGGGGTGAAAGGCTTGGGGTTGGGGGTGCCCACAGAGCTGGTGGATTTGGGGCATTTGTTACCAAGATGGATCAGGAGGGCAATTTATGTATATGTTGAGGGCCTGCTGCCTTCCCCCCCATGTTGGTCATCCAGGACTGATGAGGACACATGTCCCTGTTGGGGAGACAGAGCCTCGGGGAGGTGAAGTGATCATCAGTGGGGAATTGGGCAGGCTTAGGACACTGAGTGGGGCCCACAGTGAATAGGCCATGCAGGAGCATCTGGGAGAGCTAGGCCTCTTTCCAGGGTTCAGGACAGTAACCACTCAGAGCATCCCAAACATGAGACCAGGAAGGGCCTTAGATCTCAGTCAGAGAGGGCAGGGCCTTCCACAGTCTCAGAGCCAGTGGGCCACTCCCACCAGGCTCTCTCCAGGACACCTGAGCCAGCAGGGAGAGCCAAAGTCCCCCAGGGAAGAGAAACAATCAGTCGTTGGGAAACGGGAACAGAC